GCCACCAGGTTACCTGCTGGTGCCTCTCTCTCTTAGGGTCTCTAGAACTTCTGTAGACAAATGGGTCCTCAGCGTCAGGGAGACACATGTGTACTGGGGAAACAGAGGCTCCCTGAAAATTTTGCATAGAAACACCCTCCTTGACAAGTCTTGTTCCAAATAGCGTGAAAATGGAATGCCATTTCCTTTGCTGTGCTCCCTGTGCCTCCCATAGGAAAATAGGGCCGCCTCTGGACAGCTCACTGCCCTGAGGCTTAAATCCAGGAGCGGACTACTAACTGTTGCCTGGATTCTGTCAGCAGATCCGAGCTCTGGCTTTAGGTACATTTCCTAACATCTGACTTCTCCACACAACAAGACATTCGAATCTGAGATACAGAAATAGATAAACCCATGGCTGACACTCAGTGGATTTCCCACTGCCATCTTGGGCCCCTGGTAAAACCTGGTGGGTAAGAGGAGAGCAATTTCCTCTAGTCTTAGAGGTGGATTTTCAAACTGTTGTAGCTTCAATTTTTTTCCCCCAAGACAGAGTCTTGCCCGCTCAATTGCCCAGGCTGGAAAGCAATGGCCCAATCACAGCTCACTGCTACCTCAAACTCCTGGGCTCAAATGATTCTCCCTGCTTAGCCTCCCCAGTAGCTGGGACTACAGGTGTGCACGACCACTCCTGGCTAATATTTTTACTTTTTAATTTTTTGTAGAGACGGGGTCTCACTATGTTGCCCAGGTTGGTAGCTTTTATTGATAATGCGGAGAAGAGGTAGTCCCTTTAAGGTAGACTTCCAACAAGTGCCATTTAAAGGATGTCAAGTTTATCAACACTTTTCAGCAGAACAGAGGAAAGATATTTCTTTGAAGGATTTTGTTTCTCAATAATTATTTGGTTTATACTCTGACCCACCCATAATTTCTGGTGGAGGGTGGATTGTTAAATTCAGCAACTTTTTTTCCTGCTTATTGAAACAGGCTCATCATGACCATTATGTAGGCATTTGATTCGCTACTAGTTTGTTATTAAGAAGTAGGACTGGGATCTCACCTAATTCTATCATTCAATTCCTTTTACTAGTTCAAAGTGGCCTTGCACTCAAGCTGAGTAAAACCTGGAGCTGAGGTTTCACTATTTAGATAAGTATAAAAAGTTGTTAGATTTGGTTGTTGAAATTTACCATTGAAAATTTCGAAGTGGCTGTAAATAACTTTGTGTTGTCTGTCCACGTGTTAAATGACTAAATTTCTCCTAGATTAATAATGAAATCAGACATAGGACTCAAAGGAAAAATCATGCATTGCTTTAAGTATGAATATGTTTTCCTTTAATATCTTAAATTAACTTGGAGTGTGTATGCGATCTGTTAGCTCCTTGCATAGGCAAGGAAGCCACTGCTCAGCTTTCTTAAAGTCCAGCCTTCCCTGATTCACACTTTCATCTTTTCCCCAATCATTCCTCACCCAAGGAGAGCCAGCCAGCTCAGCTGACATTCAAATCTACCTGTGAGTGAGCCCTAACCTACCTTCCAAGCAATATTTCTTACTGTTCCATGTATAAATCATGCATAAATCATAAGCTCCAGGCAAACTAGCTCCATTCTTTCTCTCGATGGAGGCACAGTACACAATATTAGTCAGGAGACATTTGTCAGCCACAGTCTCCACCTCACTCATGCTGGTCCTCCACTTGGCATACCTTTCTCCGATTTTTACCTGGTGAAATTCTGCCCATCCCACAAGGCTCAACTCAAGTGCTACTTTTCTTATGGTCTTCCCAATGGAAGAGGCCTTTTCCATATTTGAACTCCCACAGCACATTATAACTCCCTCATCTCACCTGACATCTTCACTACTGTTCTATATTTATATATCTTCCCCTATTTCTTAAGAGCTGATGTCTATCTTATTTATCAGTATATGCCATTGCACATAAGAGGCACTCCAAAAGTAATTATTGAATAAAGACTTCATTTTCCTCTGATTCATTCATTCAGTCAACAGATATTTATTGAATACCCACTATATGCCAGGCACATGTAGCTAGTAAAATCTGGTTTGAAGATTATCTGTGGATTTCAATGATCTATGCTATTTCAATTCTCTGCTCTCATAGGGAAAGATCTGTTCGTATCATGCAGGAATACTTCTTCTTATCATTACCACCAATTCTATTATTTTTCAAGGTGCCCTTCATTGGCCAATTTGATAAAACATATCAAGGTTCTGTATTTGTGTACTAAATACACATCTAGCTTTGTCTCACCCTTTCTATAGATCTACTTTTATTTCTTCTGAGTTCCTCACTTTTTGTTTTATATCCTATGTATATTAATAGCTTCCTCAAATCCTTTCGAATTGAAGCAGAGTACCAATAAATAAACAGAATAAAATTTTAAAAAATCAAATGTGACTGGCTCAAAACCACGAATACACACAGTGAAATCTCACTCAAACAGCTCTTGCTGTAGAGAAGAATTCAATAAAATGTAGGTCTTCCTTGAACTCCATTCCAGGGTCTAAATTTCTAAGATAATTATTTGTAAGGTGATCTTACTTTTAATGTGGTCCCACAAATATGATATTAAGAAACCTGTGAGGAAAACACTAGAATGGTCATTCTGGTGATTGATGGAATTTGCAAACTGCATTGTGAAGTCTGGGACTGTTTCAGAGAAGCTGGGAAATATGAGAAACAACATGTCTATGTACCTTAAAAAACATTTTGTATCATATTGATTTTTTTTTTTTTTGAATCAAGGTTGCTAGGGAGATGACCTATCAACTTTAGACAAATAAAGACAGCAAAGGCTAAAAAATATAAAGATACTATTCAGGAAAAATGGCTCTTAAAATGAGAGTGGTTGGTAGGATGTGCGTAAAATCAATACCAACAGCATTAACCAAAGCATGTGTTCTCTCTTCTCATGCTACAGAAATTGCAGACATCTGCCACGAGACTGTTGTTATTTTAGTACCTAAACCTCACTAGTAAAAGGAAGCTCTTTTGCTCACATTAAGATTTTGTTATTTTGCACTCATTTCTCTTGAACATATTCATGAACACAACCCCACCCCATGTATCTAGATGTATATCGAGCTTAGCAGACTGTATTTAAAGTAGGCAGATTCGCTGAGTCCCACAACCAGTTCAAAACTTTGTTTTCACAAAGGTTACTGATAAATTAATTTACAATTAATCCCCAGAGATATATTTCACAGACCAGGCACTATGTCTTTATGATTAAGTTTAGGGAAGAGAAAACACAGCATTGTCAAGCATTACATTAAAATGACAAAATGACCTCAGGAAACCAGAGTTCTAAATAATTAATACAGAGGAATAAAAAAGAAGATCTACAAAATTGTAGTTATTTGACCTTTATGATATTCATTGGCTATAGGTGTGATATGCAATTTATTTAAAGGGTATTTTTAAAAAACTAGTTTCAATTGGTCTTTATATGTTATGTTAAAGCCTTGCGTACTGTTACGAGGACTTGTCAAGTTTGGTTGTTTTCTCTGTACTTATCAAGCTCCAGTGCTGCTCATCCCCAGACTGTGAGCCCCCAGGGGCCGATGTGAGACCTCTTTTCATTCCCATCACTTAGCACTTGGTATATTCTCAATCAGTGCTAGTTGAATGAAAATATGGACTTCTGTCTCCTCATCGTCACCCTAAATCATGCCAAGATGGCACGAACCTCAACTTTTAAGAAAGAACAGACTTAAATGTTAATTGATGTGTTCTGGAAAACTTTTGGCTTAACAATAAATCCAAGAGAGAAACGGCAAGGAATTTGCTGTTTTGCACCCCCTTTCAGGACATTCTCACAAAGGTTTTAGCTTGATTCAAATGGTGCCCTCTCCTATGTGCATACACATTGCAACGCAGCCACAGGAATCCTTGAAACCCACGAGTAGAATGTGTAGCCCGTGTGTTTTTTCCTGTTGCAAATTCTCTCATATGTCCCGTTTCTGAGAAAATTCTTTTAAGAACGTCTCTTATGGCCCAAATTTAGACCTTACCAGGTAGATATTTCTCTGGGATTCAGTGAAACTGCTGTGGGAAGTAACAGAAAAAATTCACCTCTAAAAGTGAGCTGCCCCAGAGGAATGAGGTTCAGAAGGGAAATGTGATCTCATGGAATGCAATCACCTAAGTAGCTGTGCTTCGACATTTTTTATTTTTAGAGTAGCACCCACCAATCAAGTGGCTGCATATCTCAAACAACTGCAGAATTTATAATTTTAGAGATATGGAATAGAATTTGCAATATGATCTCAGTGGCTGGGTCGCTTTTCCTTGTAAAGATTTTTATCTGATTATAAGACAAACGGCCTACTTCTTCAAGGCATATTAGCGCCGTGAAATCATGCTCCACCTTTGGCCTCTTTTCATCGTGTCAGCAGGAGCTTAGAGTCTGGTATCAGAGAAGGCATGACAGAGAGTTAATTTCTGCCAGTGCCCTTCTGGCCTTCACTGCAAGAGATGGTAATTTAATTTTTTTCCTGGGCATGTAAGTAGAGCTTTGATGGTACTTCTTACTATATTATTGGGTCTGCATGACTGCTTTACGGTGAATCTGAAATCTTTGGGGAAATGGTCTCAGGGTCCCTGACTTTTGCTGGAGCCTAAAATTATAGTTTGGAAACTGAGAACATTGGGTAACAAAAAGAAGCATGTGTCTTCTCCATGAATTTTGTTTGGGTGAGATTTCAAGACAAAATGTTGCTTGCTGAGGAAGTGCCAATGCCCACCTGCCCACCCTGACCTGGGGGAGCAGCGCTCAGCCCGACACGCTGAGAACAGAGCTTTGCCCTCGTGTCTCAGGTGGTTGAAATGCCGCCTTGTGCTCACACCACGCGCCCCCTCCCCCACTCTGGCACATCTCCCAGAGGACCTGCTGCCTCAGTGGGGTCCAAAAAGTTTGCTCCTTGCTTCGTGGGGTCTCAATAAGAAGCAAAAAGATTCAACCAGCAAAGCAAAGGCCTAGGAAACATTTGCTACCATCAGCTCTGATGGTTGCGCCTAAGATGGAACTTTGCGTAGTCTCTTGTTTAGTTTTTAAATAAGAGGACCAGTTAGGGACCCAGGTCAAGCCTTTCTACAGAACTATCCTGAAGAGCAAAAGTAGTCAATGACAGGCTATGACTGGGGATTGACTTCGGGAAAGGCTGGAGTTGTGAAATGAGAGCCAGAAAGGTTTTCACCTTCCAGCCCACAGGTTAACTTACTGAAAATCAGTCACCACCACTTCTACCTCTCGTGTGTTTACTCCTACTCTGGAGAGTAATCTAACTCATCGTTTGCGATCAGGGCCTCCGAGTTCTGTTTGTGTTTGCTTTTGCTCTTCGCTTTGCTACTTGTCCGGCTGTTTGCCTTCGCATCTGACATCTGCTGGTAATAGAAGCCTTTGTCTTCGGCTGGCCCGCCCCAGTTCTCCTGGCTCTCGCCCTCTGTGGCGTAGGAGAAACCCTCCTCCACCGAGAAGGGGTCATCCACGTCGTAGCGCTGGTACGTGCTTTGGTGCAGGGCCTCTTCTCGGGCACTGATTTCCAGGGTGCTGTTCCAGATGCCGTACCCAAAATAAATGAGCATACCTGCAGGGGAGGGAAAGGGCACAGGTGAATAGGCAGTTGCTTTGGGAATCCATGGAACTGGCAGGGAGATCACCCTCAGTGGTGAAATCAGAGCTGGAGGAGATGTATTTTCTTTGGTCTAAATGGTGTTTTTTCAAAACACCGAATTAGATGCCATTTAAAAATCGGGAGATCTTGCATTAGGCAACCCGTATTTACAGCTTTTCCTAAAAAGTCGAAAGGTCTGACAACACTGCATCCACATTCCTCATGGAAATTTTTGGCTAGAGGTGAGATCTAGCTGCTTCCTTAGACAGGATACGGGCTCTCTAGGTCACCTCAACCCCAACCTCCCGTGGTGATATTCAGCTCACTGCACTCATAAAGCTGCCAGCCAGGAATTCGCATTTTCTATCCTGGGTTAAATATTTATAGATCAGCGACAGTATATTCCCAACCTTCTCATAACATTTTATTATCCCCTGCCTATACTTAGGGACCCCATCTCGTTTCACCACTTAGCAATATGCATGTATTATCCTCTGATTTATTTTACCATTTTTCATTCACCAAAGGAATATTGATGCCACTCTAAGCTGCCTGCTTTCTTCTGCGGGCTGTCAGTGGCTAATGCATGCCACTGCTATGGCCCTTAGAACATCTGTTGTGTGGTTATCTGCACAGGGTGGTACTATGTTATAGTCTCTGCAGCAAACCGGCACTTAAATGTTTATTGAATGAATGAATGAGCACTCTTGATGAGCATGAAATGTCCAGTGCAACCTCTTCGTGTTGATGTCATTCCAACCAAAGAAACTTGCCTCTCTAGTTAATATGTAGCATTAATATGGGATAATGCTTTATTTCTATGATTTTTTCAGAATAATATATAAAAATAGTTTGAGAACCACCATTTTTTACCTTGAAAAGCCCATGAAGTTTCAGGGCCCGCAGAGCTGAGAACCACAGCTTTGGAGGCCATAGGGCATGAGAAGTAAGAGTGTGGGGTCTGGGTTCAAATCCTGCCTTTCTCATTCTTAGCTGTGCAACGCTGGTCCTGTTACCTTAGACTCTCTGTGCCTCAGTGTTCTCTTCTATAAAACCATGAGATTATAGCAACCCTATAATATGGGACTGCTTGAGGATGAAATGAGATAAGCAGTGGTTCTCAACCGTGGCTGCACTTGAGAGCAACCTGGGGAGTTTTTGAACCACTCTGATACTCAAGCCCCATCCCTGGAGATTCTGATTTAATTGGTCTACAGTGTGATCCAAGCATAGGTATGTTTTTAAAGCTCCCCAGGTGATTCAAGTGGTCCTGAGATAAGGAACTGTGCCTGATGCACCTGATGAAACTCTGCCACCTACTCAGGCCATGCCACGGGCTGGCCACTGGGGTCCACTCAGCTGCTCAATCTCCTTCCTGGCCCCAACACCCTCTTCTGAGTGACACCAGCCGCTTTGGCTTTGCTAACCCTGTGGATGTCTTCTGGGCTGTTTGCTTAGAACCACAAGTCAAGCCTGCTTTGCTCCTCTGGAGCTTGAGAAATCTTGCTCCCTTTTGAATATGAAGTGTGTCTTTTCAAGCTCCGATTTCTCCCTCCTTGTCTCAAATGACTTTCTCTGCAACCCCCCAGTGAAATCAGCTTTCCAGGAGCCAAAGTAAGCAGAGATTTATAGTCCTAATTGATAATAAATCCTAAAGTTAATTATTTGCAGATGTAGCTATTACTTCTCAAATAGCGGCTTCATCATTTTGAGCATGAGTATTTACTCTTTTTTGTCCGGGGGTGGGGGTGGCCATGGGGAATAGTTATTATCCTTGTGCAGAACAAGGCATCACATTAAGGCCTCTTCTAAGAATGCCAGTGTGCTGGGTCTGGGAGTGTGCCTCTGTTTGAAGCATGTTTGAGATTTGAGAATGAATTTCAGGTGGCCGAGCAGGGCCAGCAGGCACACACCTTGTTTTGCACAGCTTTGCTTTTTTGATATCTTTTCTCTTAGACATCTAGGCAGGTGCCAAATCTCACCTCTTACTCCTGCTTGGTATCTTTTATGCCAGTTCTTTCCTTTCTGATCTCCTTCTCTGACCCTATTTGTAGGTGAGTTATTTCTCTACTGAACTTAATACCATTTTTTTCTTTTCCCCTTACCCCTAACTTCTCTCCTCTGCCACTACACAGGTCATCTCTCAAGCACCGGTTTGACATGGATTCCAACAGACCTTCCTCTGTCCCCACTAGGTATTTGGGTGTCAAGTAGATTCATATCATGGGAATCCCCTAAAAACCTTGGTGTGATTGCTCATAGAATCATAGCTATTTAGAGCTGGAAAAGATGCTACAGATCATTTATGCATTCTAATACTTTCATTTTATAGAAGTAGAAACAGGCTAGGAAAGACTAAGTGACTTGCCTGAGTCCAAGAGGGGCAGAACCAGCCTTTTTTTTTTTTGGAGACAGAGTCTCTCTCTGTTACCCTGGCTAGAGTGCCATGCCATCAGCCTAGCTCACAGCAACCTCAAACTCCTGGGCTCAAGCAATCCTTCTGCCTCAGCCTCCTAAGTAGCTGGGACTACAGGCATGCGCCACCATGCCGGCTAATTTTTTCTATATATATATTTTTAGCTGTCCAGATCATTTCTTTCTATTTTTTAGTAGAGACGAGGTCTTGCTCTTGCTCAGGCTGGTCTCGAACTCCTGACCTTGAGCAATCCACCTGCCTCAGCCTCCCAGAGTGCTAGGATTACAGGCGTGAGCCACCGCACCCGGCCGGAACCATCCTTTTATATGAAGAAAGAAAAGTCTCTTGCATAGCCAGTCCTTCATACCTTCTCTCCCCTAGGCTAGCTCATAGACGATGCTTACTGCAGTAAATATTTAGTAAGAGGTTAGGTCCACATTTGTCTTTGGGAGTGGCCAGAGCTGGAAGGAACGTGTGTGTGCACACATTGACTATGGTTACTTTGGGAAAGTGACCCATGGAAACCTGCCACATAAATATTTATGGGTCTTTTAATGTTTGCTCTGAGCCCCGTACAGTTTCAAAGGTGTGTCATTCTGTCTTCAAAAATACATTTCAAATGCGAGTGCTGTGCGTTGAGAAGCTGTGTGCCGGCAGCCTGGCGGGACCAGCAGTTGCTCAGGGAAGGGCATTCTCCTAGGTCTGGCATTCTATCTGCCTAATTCAGGAAAAGTGGTGTGAGGCCGAGAAGGATTGGAGAAAAGGAAAAATGGAGAGCGACAAAGAAACAGAGAGGAACAAATAAAGGGAGGAAAGGAGAGAGAGAGAGAGAGAGAGAGAGAGAGAGAGAGAGAGAGAGAGAAACGCACTACCATCTGTCACACATAAACAAGGGCTTTGTGTCAGGCAAGTAAACAGAGCTGCTCAGCGCCTCCTGTGTGGGAACAGGGGATTTTGTTTCTGCTCCATTTTCCAGTTGGCTTAGACAACTAAGCATGAGGTAGTTTCTGAAAAATCTCTAGGGTTTCTGGGAATTCTGAATCATCATCTAAACTAAACTTCACACGACACCTCTGTGTGCTGAGGTCCAATAATAATGCATCATTTATGTTGCACCTTTCTCCCAAGAAGATCCAAATGCTATACAAATGGTATCTTGTTTAGAATCCTTTAAACCTATTTGGGGAAGGAGTGTGTGTGTGTGTGTGTGTGTGTGTGTGTGTGTGTGTGTGTGTGATTATGTATACTTCATAGACAGAAAACTGAAGCACAGAAAAAACAAGGGATTGCCCATAGCAACATTGTGAGCCGTTGGATGGTGAATCCTCCAGGGCTCTCCATGCCCTAATGCAGGGTGCTTCGATCTCTCCTATTTCTCCCGTCTACCAGGGATGGAAAATGATTTTGCTTCACTTTTCATTTTGAAGAATTGTACACATATACAGAAAGGGGAGTGAATAGTATAACGAATCCCATGGACTCATCACCAGCTTCCCCACACCCCCAGCCCTGCCACCTTCTTTCTAGGAATCCTTCCATCATAGGTTTCCTGTGTGAGTATTTCTCTATGTTTCTCTAAAATAGACTCCTTTAAAAAACATAAGTATTAGCCCATCTAAAAATTAATTTCTTAATATCTGATATTCAATAGTATTAAAATTTCTCTGAATTATTACACATATCGGGAAAAACTCTTTACCTTATGATGCTACACACTTATTTCAATGATGCCATCGTTGCTTGAAATAGTTTTGGGGCACTCTTATTTAAGATTGTCACTGGGACTGGCATCATATTCTTTTATAAACCTGTATAGATGTCAAAATTTTATCTTTTGAGGTGGATTTTATTTTGGAATAAGCCAGAAGTCACTTGGAACCAAGCCTCAAGAATAAGATGGCTAATCAATAATATTATTTTATTTGGATGTTTAATTCTGCTGTTCTTTAAAAACAGATGACTTAATCCATTGCTTTGGAATTACACGTATCTGTAATAAATTAAAGGCAGTTGTGATGTTAAAAATCAGAAAGGAGTCAGCTTTTATGCTGTAGCAGGGTCCTGAAGGCTCCCCTACTGGGCTGGAGTTATTTTTTTAGTTAATGGGTCATGGTAGGGGGTGCCTGGTGTGGCCAGGACAGTGACTAGTTAGCAGTAAACACAGAAGTGTATCAATATTTTAACAACAGACATGGTTGGACCAGGGCACGCAGGCTAAATGCCAGCCCTGGTCAAAGGTGAGTCCCATGAAAGTCTGTTTGCAGTTAAGGGAAATATTCAAAGGGAGGCTTTGGCATCTTTTCCATAGAGTAGTTCCCTGGTGGAAAATGTGCCCACGGGCGGTTCAGGCTAGACAAGATGAAAAATCATGTCTGTAACAATCGAATGGGCTTTCTTTATGTAATAAAACACTTTGTGATCGTAGAGCCCTTTATAAAAAAAAAAGCAATTTTTCTTCCATCATCCCGGAGAACTTAAGAACTGTATATTAAATCAGTAATTGCAATAGCACTAGAACACATCTCTGGAGTCTAAGCTGAGGACAGTTCCCTTCCCA